TCTTCGTATTACAATCCATTATCTTTAAAGGAGATTCTCCAAACTGAAAGATGAGAATAATTTCAAATATCACCCTAAGTGCTCAAGGATGAAGCTAAATCATTTAATATTTGTAGATGACCTGTTGCTCTTCAGCAGAGGGATATAATTTCTGTGCTAAAGCTCAATCAATGCCTGTGTGACTTCAATTCAATTTTAAGGCTTGAAGCTAATCCAAGGAAGCATTCTATCTTTTATGGTGGAGTAACTGAACTAGAGAGAGATGATATTGCAAGTGCATTGGGATTTCCTGAAGGTTCCCTAGCAGTAGAGTACTTTGGTGTACCTCAACTAAGCAAAAGACTATCTTATCCTGATTGTAATGCTTTGCCGAGTAAAATTTCTGATCAGTTTTGGGATTGAATGCAAAGTAAAAAAGCTCTACTATGCTGGTAGACCAGAGCTTATTAAAAATGTCATACTTGAGATGCAGATATATTGGATGAATAGCTAAATCCTATCTAAAAGAGCCCTTGAGAAGACTAATAATCTGTGTAGGAGCTCTCTTTGGGGGGAAATTGAGCCCTCTTATAAAGTTTCTCTCATTGTAGAGAGTGTATATGCCAAGATGGTAGTCATGAGGTACTGGGGATATATCAGCTAAATTCTAGAACATGGCAGCAGCTCTTGGACTGATTTGCTTTATACATCACAATAAGGAACTTCTTTGGATTAGACGGGTTCATGGCACTTGCTTAAGGAATTATGACATTTGGCATGCAATCAGGGGATTCTTGAATGTGGAAGCAGCTACTGAGGATAAGAGATCAAGCTATTTTGCATTTTGGAGATGTTGGTACATTGATCACCTCCTAAGCATTCTACTGTACTCTGACTAGCTGTTCAAGAGAGGCTTCTCACATAAGATGGGCTATTCAGGTTCAGGTTAATTGCTGAAAATAAATGTGTATTATGTGATCATAGTGTAGAACAGAATCACTAGCACTTGTTTCCTTTTTTGATGCATGTTTGGAACTCTATTATGGACTAGCTACGGTTTAACTGGAGATCTTATGAATGGCAATGCTTGATCAGATGGTATTTGATTGCTTGAAAGGAAATGGAGATACAGAGAATATGAAGAGGATGATACTTGCTTCCGTAGTGTACGCGATATGGATGGAGAGGAATAAAAGACTATTCACACAGACGTAGAGGACATGCGAGCAGATTCTAAAACTTCATGACAACTGTGATTAGGCTACATGCTTGTAAACACTTTTTTTTTGGGTAAATGAAAAAATTATATTCACCTCCAAAAATAGGAATTTTGTACATCAAGAATCTCTACTCAACAGTGAGATATCAGAAATGAGACTATATTACATAAAAGCACAAATCTCAGGGGGATAGAGCAGTTCATGCACCTCCTGTCTGTGCACCTTCTACTCCTCAATAGTACTCTATATGGAGAAACCCCATTCCCTACAATCAGCTGACTGAGAATTCAAAATAATAGTGAGGACATCTATCTTGATATTCTTCATTAAAATGTCAGGAGTTTTGCTCTTCAGATTGAATATTCTGCAGTTTCTTTCATTCCAAATAGTATAGACTGTTGCAGCAAAAGCCATCCTCTTAATCTTTTGTTTCATACCCTTACCCCTCAACCTGAAAATGAACCAGTTCAAGAGGGTAGACCAGTCACAAGATCTCCATTTGAAGTTGAGCCATTCCATAATACCAATTCCAAACCTTTTTTGACAAAGTGCACTCGAAAAACAAGTGATTTCTGCTCTCTGAGATAGAACAGTCACAAAGCTTACATACTGAAGCCTGAATAATTCCATGTCTAAGGAGCCTGTCTTGAGTTTGAAGCTTATCCTGGACTGCCAGCCATAGTATGAACTGGTGCTTTGGATAGCTTAAATCCTCCCAAACTGTATCATGCCATGCCACTTGAGATGTAATAGGTGACAGCCTGGAATAAATGTCAGAGAGCTTAATTTTTGATTTGTTGCAGCATGAACTGAGAAGCTGAATGAGGTTATCAATCCCTCCACACATATCAATACATTTATCTCTGATACTCAATAGTTGTTTCCACATCCAAGAGTCTCCCTTTCTAGCTTTAACCATCCAAATGCTACTACTTTTCAGATAATTTTCATGGGACCATTTAATCCACAAAAGCTCCTTATTCATGTGGATACTCCACATCATTTTTAGGGCAGTAGCAATGTTCCAAAGTCTTGCCGAGAAGATTGCCAACCCTCCATATTTCTTTTGAACACAGACATTTCTCCATGATACCAGAGAGGGTTTAGAAGTATGTTCTGATTTGCCCCATAGAAAACACCTACATAGCTCATCAATTTTTTGTAACACTTTTACTGGGAGGATGTAGCTTGTTGTCCAGAAAATTTGAATACCCAAAACAACACTCTTAATTACCTGCAATCTTCCCGCATAAGACAGAGATTTGTTCTTCAAACAATTCTGGAACTGGTTTGATATCCCGCTTGTAAACACTTTTTTGTTATGTTTTCTTCATAGTGAATAAAATCTTTTTTCAGTGACGAAAAAAAATGACATGTATTTAGGACTCATTAACCACAAGTCAACTTTACCCAAAACTCTTTCAAAGATAAAAACAAATTTTATATTCACATCTAAATAAAGTCAACAGTTAACACACACAAACAGTCAAAACCACCTCCCATCAATCCAACCTTTGATTTATTTCAATCTCT